TCATTTTCAGTTTCTGTGGCTTTATAATACATATTAATATCCCACTGCATACATCTTTCCTATTTGTTGTTCCTTTTTAAAATCTTCTTGGCGGGCCGGCCAAGGGGCACGTTGGTTAGGAGTTGGCTTGGGACGCCAGCTCTGAGTAGCAGGGCCCCGGTTTGGATCCCACATGAGGGCCAGTGACGCTGCGCCCTCTACAGCTAAGATGGTGAACAACAGCTGGACCTGGCGCTGGGCTGCCGTGAGTCGCCGGCAATGGCATAGGTTGCAGTGGGGCTGGCCTGCGCGGGCATGCGCTGCCGTGAGCCGCTGAGAGCGGCTGTCCAATGGCAGGCGAACGACTGCCTCACCCGGGAAGAGTGCAATAATACCAACATGGGCCAGTGAAGCGATATCCTCCACAACTAGACTGAAGAACAAAAGGACTGTTCCCCTTCCCTAATTCCCCAAAGCTGTTCCCCTCCCCCAATTCCCCAATTTAAAAAATCTAAATAAATAAATAATAAAATAAATTCTTCTTGGCTTACTTTCCTATTTATTCTTCCATAATAAAATTTTCTCCACCCCAAGAAAATGCTTTATTCAGGGCATGAAAGAAAAATTAAATTGAGTCTGTATATTAAACCATGGCTATCTTCTTTTTGGAAGTGATTCCATGTCAAAGCTACTTGGTTTACTTAGCACTTTTTAATGAAAGAATTTCTTGGCACACCCTTCAGTGAAGTAATAAAATGTTCTCATTATGAAAGGAATTTAAGCAATTACAGCTAAAGACTTCTTCCTAGTGTCTCTGACAAGGTACATTTTAGATGAAAGGATGTTGACTATCGTTCAATGGTCGGCTGGTGTCCTCTAGGGCTTTTGTGAGTCCTCTGAAAGCTACGAAGAGTTAAGCAACTTATTTCACCAGCTCCATCTGTAAAAATGTGTTGCTACAATCCACTTGGAAGGATCCATCCCCACCGGTACACAGAATTCATTTACAGCCACAAGCTTGGCATTCTTACAAGAGAGCTGCTCAACCAAGAAAACATGACCTAAGAAATCAAATAGGTTTGGCAGACCCGCTCCAAAAGTTCTAGCAACAAAACCCAATCTTTACTTCAGTGATACCATACACTGCTATAAATCCAGTGTGGATCAGGGAATTAGAATTTGAACATGAGATGTAAAAGAAATAGAACATGTAAATGACTAGAGGAAAATACACACAAATACCATGTGATCTTTGAATTGGAGGACTTCCTAAGTATAAATGAAGAAACCATGAGGGGTAGATTTGCATAGATGGAAAAATACTTTGAAACATTTTAAAATCCCAAATATGAAAGATGCCCGATTATAATGAAAAACTTTTCAAGCATCTTAGACAATGAACAAACCATACACTACCACAGAGATTACCAACTTATTCCTAATTTTCTACAGAAGTATGAATATCATGAGTTTTACTTGTGCATTTTCCAGGGTTGAAAAGTCCCTTATCACACTCAAGCAGCCACTTTCCCATTTCATGGGTGCTGAGATCACTCAGTCTAAGACTCAGGACTGAGATTTGGTTGTGGATTTATGTGTTTGGATACAAAATTCTTGACAAGAACCCAGGCCCAGGTCTGGGCTCTCCTTTTTAGAAGACTCTACCAGAGTAGCAATAAAGTCAAACACAGCGCATAAGAATTTTTATATAGGGGGTGGCCAGGTGGTTCAGTTGGTTAGAGCACATGCTCTTAGCAATAAGACTGCCGAATCGACTCCCACATGGGATGGTGGGCTGTACCCCTCCACTACTATTGGGTTGTCGGAAAAGTCATGACGTATTTTTTCTGTTTTTCATTGCAAAAATGCGTCATGACTTTTCCGACAACCCAATAGATTGAAAATGGCGACTGGACTTGGAGCTGAGCTGCACCCTCCACAACTAAGATTGAAGGACAACAACGTGACTTGGAACTGATAGGTCCTGGAAAAACACAATGTTCCTCAATAAAGTTTAAAAAAAGAAGAAGAATTTTTATGTAGCTACAATTATAACTAGGGACACACTGCTTTTTTATTCCCAGTTGTAGGCAGACAAGAAATTGCTACTGTGGCTGCAGGAAGGTAGCCAAATGCTTCTCTAGTACATTGTGCAATCTAGCCCCCCACACACTATGTCTAACAAGTCACAAATGCGTATCATTAAAATACAGCCAGACCTTTAAGAGTTAACAGAGAGAGAGAGAGAGAGAGAGAGAGAGAGAGAACAGTGCACTCTTGTTCTTCCAAATGGCCATTGCCAATCCCTTCACCTTTTTCTTCCATCTGTCCAAAGCAGCAAGGACAGAAAGAGACTATCACAGCCTCCTGAAAGTCCCTGCAATCCCTCCTTCCTGTCACTCTGGAGATGATTCTAAGGACTCCGAGGTTCTTCCCCGCTCTGATATTGTCTATTGTCATTTTAGCAAACAGAGCCTCCATCCTCTCTGCAAAGTAAATCCTTCCCTTAGCCTCACTCTCTCTTTCCCACACTCTGGTTTCTCCCTGCAATGCCTCCCTTGGCCCTCCTTCCTTCCTTCGCCCTGGCACTTCTTGCTAGCCCTTGGGAAAGTAGTTTAACTTTCTCCCTCTGGAGTAGGGCCCTGTGCATGGAGCACCTACCTTGGGTGGGGTACTGAGGTTAAACCCAACTGCCTACACAGGCAGGACAGATGGTGTTCTTCCAACTTTGTTTGCATATTAAGCATGTGGGAACATCCTTGGCTTTTACAAAGAAATATGCTTTATCTTGTTCCTTCTTGAAACATGTGACCCTTAGTCAACCTTTCATTTTCACAGTTTTGACAGAGAGAGCATGGATGCATTAGGACAGAATCATTTTCCTCATAATTCTACTCTAAGAAAAATAACAATGCAAGGGTGGGGCTAAAATGATAGCAGACAAGGTCAGTAAGTGGTGGGATACCTTTCTGAATAAATAGGGAACATACACACTCTACGTAGCCATTCTCCAGTCAGTGTGTGCCAAGTGGCACATGGGCCCAGTGTGGCTAGATCTTCTGACTTTTCAGGTAACAGACATCCAGACGTTTTTGTGAAAAATCATGTTTTTTAAATGTTTACAGCTAATCCAAAAGAATTTAAAATGTTGCAAAGGCTAAAGTAGACAAGTTCAAGGTGCAGGATGGTTGCCTGTGTGCATTCCCTGGCACTGCAAATTCTAACAGGCATTAATCTTATTTTATTAGATTTGCTTAATTTACAATCGACGGTTCTATCAGTGTGCCTTTTATAGAGATCAATGATCTGTTTCTGTATTCATTCTCCACATCAGTTGTATATCTGTATTTTCTAGCTTATTTCCACCACATTATCAATAGAGCCTTAAGGTCAAATCACCCTCCTTTTCTTCTCTTTCTCCTCTACAAAAGGAGTTAAGACACAGTGCTTTTAGAACCAAAGCTTGGAGTCAAATTTGTTCAGAGACTAAATTATAGTAGCTTTAGAGTTTTCTAGAATGGCTAGAAATTTTAGCAGTAATCTTACTGCAAGTCCTTGTTCAGAGAACTGATTAAATAGGATTAGCATGCACCCACACACACGAAGACGTCACAATGATGAAAACTGAAATCACGGCATGTGAGTCACTTCTCTTAACGCTGCCATACGCCTTCCTTAAGGCTGAAGGGCTCCATCCAAAGGTTTTTTCGCAATTCTGATCTCCCACCATTTGGCATCCTCCTCAGAATTTACTCTACAGAATTTAACCTACATTCTTATCATAACTGCATATAGAATATGTCTGCCTTCCTTGTAAGAGCAGGGACTCTCTCTCTCCATGGTATCACCAGGCCTGGCACAGTGCCTAGCATATAGTTGTCAAAGCAAGAGTTATGTCATAAACCGTTATCATCACCCAAATTAGAGCTACCATTTCCAGTGCACTCCTGATGTGCTAAGTATATTACCCACGTTATCCTTCCCAGACCAGGCCTTCCAATCCAAAGCATACTCCAGTCACCCTCTAGCACACAACCTTATTTATTCCTCTGCATAGGATTTACTGCTATCTAACATAGTATTTTTGTTTAATTATGTCTCCCCTACTAGAATGAAAGCTCCAAGAGAACAGCCGTCTTGTCTACCCGGTGCTTGGCACAGTGAAAGCAAATTAATAAATCTAAACTCCCCACCTCCTTTGGTGGCAGAGTTGACTTGCACACAGTGGTAAATCTCAGTAAGTATGTTTTAAAATCTCTATTTAGATATTCAGGATAATTGTGTTGATTATTTTATAGTTCATAAAGAGCTCTGGGGCAGAGGAGTATAGTAAAAATAAAAGTTTGGTGACAGTCCCCCAACCACTGACTAACATGGGTGCGGGAATTTTTGCTGCAATAAGAAAGCCACTTCCTCTGACATAAGGTCCCCCACACGTCTGGATCTTGCCACATCCTCTGATACGACAGAGTTCATGATGACTAGGACGCCTGGGACGGCCAGAGTCCAGACGCTCACACTAAAGTGAGCGGTGAGTGGAACGGTCGCTCGCGGCGGGTGTGCAGGAGGGTGTGCGCGGATTCTGTGGCTACCGGGGAGACCTTGCAACCGCAACCCGAGCCTGTCCACCCCCGCGATTCTCCGCGTTGGGACCTCCCGGTTCCTACTGCATTCGACTTTCTTTCACCTCCAAAGCCCAAACGCACTGCAATATCAAATCGTGCGTACCCCCCGAGCCTGCAGGGGACAAAGTTATTGAGTCACATGAGGGGACAAACATGATAGGGCCCACAGGCTCCGGATAGGCTAGAACTGTGGCGGGGCACTGGACAGCGCCAGGGATGTCCAGTCCTGGCTCCGCCCCTCGCTCCCGCCCCCAGTCGGCCGCGGCCCCGCCCACCCAGCTAGCGGCCCGGCCCCGCCCACCGCCCCGCCCGTCG